CTTTTCTAAACAACTGGCTTTTATCCTGCTACTATCTCCCACTTTGTGATTTTCAATCTAACCACTTACAAAAGACCACTTTAAAAAAACGGAGGCAAGGACAGCCAGAATGATTTAATAGCTAATCTGGGCTAGAATGTGCTGGAGCTAAGGAGGAAATTCATTAACCACTAAATGTGCATTTTTACAAATCCCACTCTTTTATCTGGAAAGCCTTATCTCCTGCAGTGCATTAAGTGTACACGGCAAATATTTGAATAATCATGACATAATTGCAATTCAGTTGGTCCACGCAGTCCCACTGAAACCCTGAGGAAGGCAAGTGGTTTCAGCGAGCACAGAATATTCTTCTATTTCATTCATTTGCAAAGTAATTGGCACAACACGCTTCATTCCAAACATTTCCACTGAAAGAGATAAGTGAAAAGAATAAACAGTGTAAATAGATGGATTTATTTCACTAATGTAGGAGGCATTTTAAAGGCAACTGTTCAATAGCAAGCTTTAATGTCAGTGCAGATTTAATTAAGTTGGAATACATTACATCTCTGAGGACTGTGTTTGCAGTTGTAAACCAGCACAGTCCCATGGCCTTAGCTGGAGCCTTACCCATCTGCAACTTACAACCTTGATAACTTGCCAAATATTTTCAGTTTCTTCTCCTTTCTATCTGTTCCATTTCTTTGTAGCTTTTCTCCTGCTTTTTTTTTTTTTCCCTCATATCTCTGTTCTTTTAGTAGGGATAATGATTCTCTTTTTCTTAAGTGAAAACACTTTGGTCTCCATGGATTTCTCCAGGATACTTTCAAATTTATTTAATAGAATCAAAGATTATTCTGGGCGGGAAGGAGCCTCTGGTGGTCATCTAGCCAAAGATCCTGCTCAAAGCTAATTTCAAAAGTCAGATCAAGTTGCTCAGTGCCTTCTTGTCCCGCTGAATTTCAAGTATCTACAAGGATGGAGATTGCACAGCCTCTCTGGGTCCTTGTTCCAGCACTCAACCCCACATTTATAGCTTTTTTTTTTTTTTTTTTTTTTCCCCCATATATCCAGTTGGAATTTCCCTTGCTGCAACTTCTGACCATTGCATTTTAGTTGTTTAAGTGTGCACCTGCGAGAAGCACCTGGCTCTGTCTTCCTTATACCTCTCCATCAGGTACTTGACACAACTCCTTAGCCTTCTCCATTCCAGGCAAAGCAAACCTCATTCCTCTGCTTGTTTCAGCTCCAGCCAAGCTTGGGCCTTCTTAATTGTGTGTGCCTGGGTGATGCTTCCATATTCATTAGGGGTAGTTCATTGTGACTTTCTGTAGGTTTTCATTTATTTATTTATTTGCTTTTGAGTTCAGTCAGGATGTCCCAATCAGCCATGCTGGCAGCCTGCTAAGCCTGCCTGTTTTCTTGATAGACGGGGATGAATAGTTCTTGTGCTTTGAGAAGTTGTTCTTGTCCATTGAACAGCTTTTCTGGACTCCTTTGCCAGGGAGGGCCTAGATCCCACCTGCCTGTTTTCCAAACAAAATGAAGGTTTTTCTCCTGAAGTCTACATTTTCCAGGCTCTCCCCAGTATCCAAAAGCCTCCATCTGCAGCCAGGGTCGCTGTAGCATAGGCTGCCATTGCCTACCCGGCCCCTCATCGGTTCTTTTGCAGACAGCAGATCCTGTGGGGCTGTCACCAATTATTCTAAAACCAATGCTATTTTTCAACTCACTCTTTCATTATGTATTTCTGCAGTTGCTCCTTAAAAAAACCTCTGTAATTCTCCAGCTTTGTTTCATCCTCATGCCTCACCATTATACCTCTTAATGTCATAGCAAACACACTATGCCTATGCCTTGTGAATTTTCTGATGCACTTATGTTTCCTCTTAATAAAAATATACCCCTTCCTTTGATATACAGGGTTATATTTACTTGTCACAAGACTCAAACTGATGCCATATGGGCAGAGGTCAGGTTGAATGACCGCAGCTTATTGCCCAAAGCCATTCAGGTAACTTGAATACTACTACAACTGCCTAAAAAAATCCTATATTTCTCCTTTGCTCCTGCACAGCTAACCCATCTTGTGATTGAAAATCAGCCTTGTGCATTATATCTGTAGGGCTACTCTTTTTGTTAAACACACTGGTTTTCTGAGAAAGTAGTGGTTTCTACATTTAGAAAATGTTTATATTTGAATGCTTGACATGATCTAAATCACCAGACATCTGGAAAACGTGACTGTAGAATCTGGACACTTTTTGAAATTTATTTTTTCTTTAAGATGAATATTTGAAAACATAATTGAAAAAATCGGCCCAACTGGCACTGGATTTTCTTTTAGCAATAGTTCCATGGCACTACCAGGAACTACTGAACAACATTTGCAATCTAAATAAATGTTGTGAATTCTAAATTGCTCTAAGTCTATCTTTAGAGAGAAATGGACCTTCCATGTTTACTATAGAAATGTTCCATTCTAATGGGGAATACAGGAAAAGTTAAGCATGTTAAAACGGTGTCTAAGAGAAATTGTTATCATTTCTGAGACACTCACATTTTGAAGTAAACGTTGCCTTTTCTAAAATACTGGAAATACATACTACTCTAAATTTCCAACAAGACTCAATATTCTCAGGATTGTGCCAGACAAAAATACCAATATGCTTTGGAACAATCCAGATACCTCTTCTACAATCCTGGGCTCCAACAGGGGAAACTGACTTGAGCAGTGAAGGTTTTTTCTCTACTACTCACCTTCATTCAGAGCCTGATCATCTCATTCATTCTTCAGGAGAAGAAAGCATGTCCTCTGACTCCATTTCCTCCTTACAAGATTTCTACAGTAACAAGTGAACTAGACTGCAAAACAACATGAAGACAGAAGAGGTACTTCAAGCTCTGACACACACGGCCATACTCTTCCCAGTAGTGCCAGCATGGGTAATGGTGTACAAATTAGCAACTGGTATGGCTTCCAATTAGTAATTGTATCAACAATAAAGAGCATTGTGTCTTCACCTTTTTCTGGAACCTTCACCTTTTTCTTGGTACTCACAAAGACACTGGCTTAAGTACAAGCCAAGTTACTACATCTTAAAGCAGTACATGGACCTCTTTTTCTTCACTTTTTTAATGCTGTTTCATATGATCTGATGAAGATTTGTTCACACAGCCTGATTTAAAATTTAGCAGAAGCACTTTATAGAGCTCATCTATGAGGAGGTACAGCCTCAAAAGTTGTTCACATTATCTTGGCCACCAGCACACTGATAAACAAGCTCATTGAACACAGCACTTACCAAGGTTATAAACAGCTTTATATACCTGACTTACTATTTGTTGAAGCAGACAAGAAAAGTTTGAGACCAAGCACTTTATAAAGAGAAGACAAAAAGAATATTTTTGGGAAAAAAAAAATAAAATTGTATGTACAGTGCACATTTTCTGGAGAGCATTGGTGGATCTCACAGACTGCATCGACTAGACTCGCTTCCAGTTTACAAACCTTGGTCACGATAGGTATATGCTTTGTAGATAGTTTCATGTAGATTTCAGAAGCTGAAAATGATTCTTCCATTCCATGTACATTTTTAACTTTAATTGTTCATCAGATAAATGAATTCTCCAGCCTGGAGATTTTTTAGTTCAAGACTAGACTTTTTTAACCCAAAGATATAGGTTTAATTACAACTATAAAGACTAGAGTTGATTGGAGGGATTTTTGTAGTTTGAGTTATGTACAAGGTCGGCCGAGTGTGTCCTTGTGGCCTTAAAATATGCAAAGCTATTTTCTGCAAAAGATTTATGTATTTGTATGTATGTGGACTATATCCACAGAACTTAGACAGCAATGCTGAACGCTGCAGCATCCAATACTTAACTTGTCTGTATTTCGTGGCAAACTTTTTTTGTTCTTGAGGCTGTGAAAATACCATCTCCCTGTCATCCTTTTCTGGAATATTTATTCTGAGAAAAGGGCAGCAGCTTTAACAAGAAGAACTGAGAACTTCTGTGGCTAAATCCCTGTTGCAGCAGCAATGCAATCAGCAAACTTTCTGGAATACCTAAGATCAAATCTAGTTTAAGAAGGAAGACTGAAAAAATCTTTAATTAAGCTGCTCAACATAATGAATGTATAGAATGTTACTTATTAAGCTGTTAATAAATACTGACGTTATTTATACAGCATATAATATACAATATAAATACTGAATAATTAACACAGATGGGGTTGCACCCCTTTAAAGGATTGTGGCTGGCACTAGGTTGGCACAGGATTTGTATGCGGAAGGTCTAGAGGTATCCCGGGCCATCGATCCTGGAGTTGCCCTTACTGAACAGACTCATTGGGCTCCTCAAAGTCCTGTGTGGGGGTCAAGATGACCCTGCCTTACTCCAGGCATCCCACTGCCTCTAGGAGCCGCTGGGACAACCTCAAAGTGCTGCTGTAGAAGAGACACAATGACACAACCCACACACGTGAGCATGGGGTGGGCTGGGGACCCTCCTGCTCGCTGGGGCAGACTGGCTGATAGTGACTGTGAGCCTCCAAACAAACCATTTTCAGCAAGGTTGATAGTCTGTAATCTCCACATAATGGATGCAGGGCCTTCCTGAATGCTGCTTTAAGCAGTTTTATGAAGACTTTGCCCAGACAGAATAAGCAGGGGATTCGGCGTTAAACAACAAGTCGAGTCTGTTGACACCACGGTGTCAGGCTGCGCTCTGTGCCGAGATCCCCTTCCTTCAAAGCTGTGCCTGAAGAGGTCCTCACCCTACCCGTGTGTAAAAACTCCGGTACCTTAAAGGCGGTCAGCGGGCTGCATGTGGACAACCACAGGAGCTGATGGGCCACCCCCGAACCTCACGGAGCTCCCTTTGCCCTTCTCGGGGTGAACCCGGGACTGCCAGCTTCCCCGATCCTCCTTCAAAACCAAAAAATAACCACACCCGGCGTTTGCTCCCAAAGCCCCGTTTTCCCCTTTCAGTGACACCTTTCCCCCTCCGGCCGGCCGGGCCCCGTCCCCCCTCAGCCTGCCGGCGGGGCGCGGGCGGAGGAGGCGCTGCGCGGCGGGCGGCTGCGCTCCGCCATTGGGGCCGTGCTGCCCCGGGGGCGGCCCCGCTTTGAAGCTCGGCTCCGGGGATGGCCCCCGCCTGAAGGCGGCCGGGCAGCCTCGCCTGCGGCGGCTGCGGCAGGGGCGAGGGAGAGGAGGAAGGCGGAGGGAGAGAGGGAGGGAGGGAAGGAGGGAAAGGCCGGGCCGCCCTCGCCCACCGAGGAGGAGGAGGAGGAGGAGAAGAGGAGGAGGAGGAGGAGAGGAGGGGAGCTGGGGGCGGCATGAGGGAGCCGAGCGGTGGCAGCGGCTGAGGCAGCGGCCCCCGGGCGCGCCGCGGGCGGAGCGAGCCATGCGGGCGGCGGGGTGGCTGGCGGCCGTGCTCTGCCCCCTCGCCCTGCTGGGCGCCGGGTCGCGGGGGCTCCGCTTCCACCCCGGGCAAGGTAAAGGAGCGGCAACAAAGGAGGAGGCGGCCGGGGGGTGCCGGGGGGCTGCGGAAGGGGCCGCGGAGCTGGATGGGGGGGAGCTTCTGGGGAGCCGTGCGGCTCGGTACTGTCAGCGGCAGGGAGCGGGCGGAGGTGGCTGCCGAGCTGCCCCGGGGAGGCTGAGTGTCCGTCTGTCCGTCTGTCCGCTGCAGAGACCTTGGTGAAGCGGCTGTCCTCCTACGAGATCGTCACGCCCGTGCGGGTGAATGAGTTCGGCGAAGCTTTCCCTCGCACGCATCACTTCAGCAGGAGGAAGAGGAGCTCGGGGGATCCGCCGCAGCCCTTGGCTTTCCGCACGCACTACCAGCTGGCTGCCTACGGGCAGGTCTTCCAGCTCAACCTGAGCGCTGATGCCGCCTTCATCGCCGCTCAGTACACCACGGTGCACGTCGGGGCCCCGCGGGAGCAGGTGACCCCAGATCTGCGCCACTGCTTCTACCGTGGGCACGTCAATGCACAGGAGGCGCACATGGCTGTCTTCAGCATCTGCGGCGGCTTGGTAAGCACCCGGGTTGCTCCCTTCTGTCTCTGTTCACGCTCTTTTCCCTCCCCTAAAGAAGTGTAGGGGGATGCCTTCACCACGGAGCCGAGCTGCAAGTTCTTGGGCGTCGCTCCAAGTAGTCGGTCGCGAAATGTCTTGGCGTTGGCAGCGTGTGGTCATGATGAGCCGCTTCTGGCGGGATGTACAAACGCTGCTTTCAAAGGATCGGTTGCTGGCCAGCCGTAGAGTTCGTTGATGTAACTCTTGACACTCACGGCATTATAACGGAGGGAAAAAACCATGCATCAGAAGCTCAGTAAGCTATTGTTTTAGCAAAATGCTGCTGTGAGTTGGCATCAGTTATGTGTCTGCAGCTAGATGGATGTGATGTGGTTATGAGTGCGAAACAATGGTGATTGAGATGATGAGAGAAGAACTAGTATTGATATTTTTCTTCCTGTGCTTTCAGTCACCCTGTAGCCATGTGTCATGTTCCAGTAGACGCACAGCAGTGCTCTTTTATTGTCTTTCTGTTAAAGTGAATGGGAAGATCCCTATTGACTTCACTGGGAGTCTGACTGTAAAATGCTTCTTTACTTAATTGAATTGAGCAAAGGAATCAAAACTCCATTGAAATGCGTTCTTTACTGTACTTTGATAGTATCCAGTGTGTTTTTTCCTAAAGGTATAACGAAGAAATAGTACCACACAGCTGTCTGTCAAAGCCGTTGTACTGTGTTGGTGCATTTCATAGTTTTGTATCTAGAGACAAGACTTCCACGTGCCTGGTGACAGGACAAGGGGGAATGGGCTAAAGTTGTGCCAGGGGAGGTTTAGGTTGGATATTAGGAAGAACTTCTTTATAGAAAGGGTTGTTAGGCATTGGAATGGGCTGCCCAGGGAAGTGGTTGAGTCACCATCCCTGGAGGTCTTTAAAAGAGGATTAGATGTAGAGCTTAGTGATACAGTTCAGTGGAGGACTGGTTAGTGTTAGGTCAGAGGTTGGACTCGGTGATCTTGGAGGTCTCTTCCAACCTAGGTGATTCTGTGAAGGCATGATATCTGGTGCTTTACCATATTACTGTTTATTGAAATGCTGAGGACAGATGAGTGACAGCTACAATTGTTGCCAAACCAGCCATTCCTTTGCAGTGCTTTAAAATAGTTGCACACCTTAAATATACAATGTTGTAAACTTTCCTGTGAATGACAGTTGAGGTTGTGACAAGGTTTCTATTGCAGCCAATGAGGAATGTAAAGGTGCAAGACTTATTTCTGAGAAGTGAAAAAATCTAGTGGTATCATAGTCTAGTTTCTTTCTGGTGGCATATAGAAGATAGAATGGAGTTGGCTGGATGCGTGTGGGCAAGAGAGATGCATATTAAAAGAAGGCAATATGTGTGGTGGAAAAGAGGATCAGAAAAAAAATGGTACTTCCAAGAGACACCTCTACTGTCTAGTGCTTATTCTTGGATATGTGGATAAAGGCCATCTTGTCTTTGGGTTTGAAGCCTTTAGACTTGGGCTATTCTGTGGAAATTACTGAAGAAGCAAGCATTCTAAACCAGTAATTCTGAATTCATCACAGTTTTGCCTAAGTACCTTTCTTTACAGACAGATCTCATTGTTTCACCTGCTTTATACAAAATCCAACTAGAACCTATACCAAAGCCCTCAGTATGTTGTATGCCTAGCTCAAAGGGAAGTAGAAAAAGGGAGGAATCACAAATAACTGCAAATAGGTTTTCATGTTGTTGTTCATTCATATACCATGGGACTGGGGATAGCGTCATACTCTGTAATAAACATGAGAAGCTTAAAATCTTCTCCTTTCATGACTTTTATTGCCTGTTTTAATCCTCTCCCTGCAAATAATCTCTTCTTATTGCTTGAAGGAGCCGCATGTGCTGAAAATCATTTCTCTGAGAAACACATACCTACCACACTTCAAAGCTGTCCCAGCTGCCTATTACTTAGCAGTTCTCAAATCTTCAGCACAAGACCTTCTTAGCTGTGGTAGTTCAAACGTCTCACTTCTCTTGTCACTTTCTCCACTTCACTTGTACTGTGGTCTGTTCTTCCACTCAGAAATCCTTGAATGCTAGTTAACTGAGCCTTTTCCTCTTCTAGATGATCCTTGTAAGCTTTCACTGCAGCTTCCAGCTGGTCCTCATGTCCTTCATTATTGTCTGTCTGTCATTAGGAGTTCCTTGTCCGAACCACCACCAAAGTCCTTGTTGTCCCAGAGCTCCCAGGACTTTCTCTCACTGCTTGTTTCACCTTTTGCCCAGGCAGACAACGCCTTGGGGAGCACAGCCTGTGACAACCCAGCATTGTGGCTGCCTTCCCTTTGCTAATGAACCCAGTAAGGTTTTGAGAAGATGAAGCAAAACTTCACATGGTGGCTGGTGCACTTCTTGTGGTACATGACTGTAGCTCCCAAAGAGGGATTGTATGAGGACGAGGAGATATGTTGTTGACACGTGCACAGAGTATCCTCCTAACCTGACTCAGAGCTTTCAGTCTACTGTTCTTCCTCATCCGTAGTCAGGCACTGGAACGGGTTGCCCAGAGAGGGGGTGTTCAAGGAAAGGCTGGACGTGGTGCTAAAGGGACATGGTTCAGTGGGTGACATTGGCGGTAGGGGGATGGTTTGCACCAGATGATCTGGGAGGTCTTTTCCAACCCTAACAATTTTTTTGATTCTATGAGTACCAGGGGAGGGAATTTCTTTGAAAAGGAAGACTGGACATAAAAGGAGGGGGGCAGAGTTTTTTTTATTTCTTTTTTTTTTTCTGTGAAATCTTGTCCCCCCTGAACACATTCTGCACTCCTGGGCACAGCTGTCCTCATGTTTTAGGACCGTTGTCATGGCTAGAAAATCTAGTGAAAAGATACCTCTCTCTCTCTCTCTCTCTCTTTTTTTTTTTTTTTTTTTTTTTTTTTCTCTCAGGATTTTTAAAATATGTTTGTTTTGTGCATTCAACAAACGTACCTGCAAAAATTACCTGGTCAGTTATTTATCTTTTATTGAACTGCACCCTGTTTTGTGAACAAATGCAAAGATTTATGTGATTTAAGGACTGCAGTTGAGGTAAGATGAGGTATTTATTGTGAGTTGGTAGAAACTGGACTATAGTGACTCAGCAACCCTGTATTATATTTATCTGAAGTAAAATCCAGTCTCTTGAGATCCATTTTCTCCCTTGCTGAGCTTCAGCTTGGTGTATAGAAATTAAAATAGGAGGGGTTGCTTAGAATTATGAGGTATAATTGTATCTTCCAAACTTGCATCTGTGAGGCAGTCGCTGCAGACCAATGCTGTAAAAGCTAGGGATGAAAAAAGGATTGTGGACTTAGGGGAAAAAAAAATATACAGGAAAATTAACAATGGAATCTTAAAAATTTGCTCTGAAGATCTGCCTGAGAGTGATCTGAAGTTATACTAGGTACTTGCACTCACTCATTGTATGCTGTAGACACCTGTCCCCAACCTCTGCGCTGCCTCCATTGGCAGCTGCACTGCTGGTTCCCAAGTTCCTTCTCCTCTTGTTTGCATTCTCAGGTTGTGTTCTCCCCCTCAAGCTCTGCTTTCCCTTTTCACCCTCAGTTAAGCCTTTTTCTGAGTGTGCCAAGAGCATGTACGGCCCAGAGTACCCGTGGAGTTTTGCTTAATGGCTCCTGACACCCTGTATGCAGTTTTGTTGTGTTACATTTCAGAGCGTGCCCTGGGTTCAGAGATGCAAATGGCAAAGGGAGGTTAGAAGGTCAGCAGGGAGCCTGTAGTAATTGCTAGGAGGGAGTCTGTAATTAGGGAAGTTCGAGAGGCTGTCAAAGGCAGAAGGTCGTTTGGAGTGATGGCCTGAGTGCCTAGCTGAACATCTGATCACATACAGGCATATTTCTTATATCTTGAGAGTAATTTTTGAAATTTCAAACTCTATTTCACTTTATTTTCCTAAGTTCTATATCTTTTTTTGCTTTTACTGCATTGGTCAGCTTTAACTTCCTACAGACATGGGAAACAAGATCTGCTGAGGATGTCACTGGATTCATGTGGACTAAAGTGACCTCTCAAACATTATCCAGACAGCAAAATCAGAGGTAAAAACGCTTAATTTAACTTTCAATAACATAGGCTACAAATTGATTGACAAATATCAATGAGTAAAGTATCAATATGTGAGGCAGATATAACGAGTTTTAACTGGAACAAGCCTTGGGTTACCAACATACTCAGGAGATAAAAAAAAAAAGAAAAAAAATAAGAAAAAAAAAGAAAAAAAGAGCTTTTTCAAGTTATTTTGCTTTTTATCCTGAATGCTATAGAAGAAATTGTTTAGTCCCTTGAGAAGCCTGGTATTCTTCCTTGGAGGTCAGGGATGTGTTGCCAGACTCTGGGGACAGCTAAAATTTGTTTTTGTGAACTGGGAGAATGCCTAAATGCCAAAGGTATTTGATGTGATTCTACTGTGAGAAGGAAAGTTAAGTAAAGAAGAAACCAACATTTCTTTGGGTGTCTATAGGGTCTAGGGACACCCCAGTCTCTGGGGTATAGAGAAACGTCACATGCTAAGTGACTGGCAAAAATTAGGAGTACACGTGCATTTTCTTCTTGCATGAATTTGCAAATCAGCTTCCTGCAGTCAACTTAGGAGTTCAAGGAAGCCCCTTTATTGCACATCAAGCTCATATTCTTGCCATTCTCCATGTAAAAATGAACTGAAGTGGATCTTTAAAATTTGTTCAGTACAAGAGGCTGTGCTTATTTTTTATTACTGGGGATCATTGGATCACCTTTTTGGGAGGTCTTGAAAACATCTTGTCTGCTGTGTATAACTACAATGGTCCTTTTTTTTTTTTTTTTTTTTAGGGAAAGTAGGCATTTCTGGAATTTATTTTAATGAAATTCTATTTTTTTGGTTTAAAAAATCAATTGTGCAGGAGCTATAAACTATTACTAGTATAGTCAGCATATAGCTTCTTTTGCAGTTGTAATGTAGGTAACGTACTCCTCC